TGTTGTAGTGTCTCTTGGGGAGGATAGCCTGCTTATGTAAATTAGAGTTACTTATGATAGGGATGATAGGGAAAGCACTGCTTTTATTTACCCTGGGACTGAGTCAGAGCAGTTTCCATTCGTGAACTGGAGAGCAGCAACCCAATTCCTCCCACATGCGCATATTCCCTGGAGAAAGTGGGTCTTGTTAGAGGACAGGGTTTCGGTCAAAGGTTATTGGCACTGTACAAAAAAAAGTAAAGAGAGAACAATGCAAAACAAGCATTTAATTGGATTTTATCAGAAGAACTGCCAAATGAATACAGTGCCAGGAAACTTTACCTGCAGCTCTTCATTACAGTTCCTCTGTCAGAAAAAGCTACGCCTTCTTATCTGTGCTGTTACTTGAGCAATGTCTTACAGCATCTGAGGTTGGGGGCACACATCCAGGATATTGTAAGTGTGTCATTGCCAAGTCTGTAAATACAGTTCATGTTTGTTGGCAGTTCCTCTGTCCATTAACATTACATCATCCCTAGACCAAACCCATGATAATGAAAACAGTTTCAGTCCAAGTAATTCAGCTTCTGACTTAAAAGTCCCCAGTATACAAGGTAACATCAGTCCACAGATGCCATGTACTCTAAACAGCTTGCTTCTGTTTCCAGTACCTATCCTGTTTGTGAGTGTTGAAAAAGTGCTAAACCCAAGTTTGTTTTAAGCCAAACGAGATCGCTAGGAATGCAGATCCTTTTGAATCAGCACAGGTATCAAGTATCTTTTGTGATTCTGTAATTTTTGGATGTTCTGTGTCGCCAGAACAGTAATACAACTCTTTGATCGCCATAGATAAGAAAAGAATGAAGAAGGAGTTCAGTATTGTATTTCCATCAGCCCCTTTCTGCTTCTTCCTGTTTTATACTAAATCCCTGACCTTTAAACTTGGATCGGTCATGTTGCTCAATGTTTTGGAAGGTTCCACAACTTCTCTGTATTGTTTTTTCAGCTTCATCTTTGTGTAATTCCTATATTTTGTTTTCAGGTGCTGAGATTGCTGGAGCAGTCATTGCTCTGCCATTGACAAAGTTCTCCAAAGCCTCTTTTAGCTTTTCTAAGTCTTCAGCTTCACTGTAGAGTTCCTTGTTGCCTAAATTGCATGTGATAACTTTGATTCAAATCCTTCTCATGCTCAGCATGAATTTCGATGTATTCCTGGTAGTTAGCTATAAATAAACCAGAGAACAATTTTCTTCAGAGTTCTGCTGCTTGCCATTAGCAAGCCATACCGTTAATCCTTCTTCTTCCTTGTGATTCCTCAAGAGGATGTTAACACGGGTGTTTGTTAGGACTATGGTGGGTGGCAGCTTCTTTCTCAATAACATCTCAGTGTCAAATCAAACTTCTCAGCCAAGCAGATATCTGAATATGGGAAAAGCTGTGATTGCTGTGCTTGAGGAGGCTCTCACCCTTTTTATTTTCATTACCTAAGGAAGGTGAAAAGCCCACTTTTTTTGGATGCTGTTTTTAACAACTTTGAATATTCTAATTGGTGATTTTCCTTTAAGACATGATGCAGGAAATACATTTCACCATACGGAGATATTATTGGTACTACAGTGACTGTTTTTGACTTCTCACATTTAGACACCCACATTTTTTATTTTTGGTAGCATTCTCTTTCATTCTTCCTTTATAGTTTCACTTGCAAAATCAAGCAGTAGTCTGAGAGCTTGAAACTATCTGAAGCTGCTCATTCCTTCTTGTAGAGGGGGAACGTAAGTAGGAGAACTTAGGAGAAGTCTCAGAAGTGAGGTGTGTCTGGATCCAGGAAAGATCATAATATTTAGAGCAATGGGGGAAAGTATATTAGCACCCTTTGAATATTCATGATTGAGGAAATCAAGTTACCCAGAGCTGTGGCAAGATAAGGGTTGAATATTGGGTCACTCGGCCCAAGAAAGAGCAGAGGAGATACAAAATGTTTCAATTACTTAATTATGTTACAAATGATATGCTGGTAGCTGTTTTCTTAATATAACAGTACATCAGAGCTTGCCATTCTAGGTGTTTTTCTCACCATCTCTATTTGACCTTTGTCATTTTGCCAGTGTCAGTTACAGTAGCTGCTCTCGAACAAAGCTGATCATCAAAGCTCTGGAAGGCCTGGAGCAGAAAGTAGATTAATCTCAATGTCTACAGCATAAGAAATCAGAGTAAAAAATGGTTACATAGTGAATTCAGTACTGTGAAGACTCACTGAAAAACAAAACCACATTGACAGGGATGCTGCCCAGTTTAAGTTATTAATTAATCAATATATCTTTCACAGACACACCAAATGTACAGACAGATCACTGCATTTCTCCTCGTCTATTTAAAGCTGCAGAAAAGTCAGTAAAGCCAAACCTACTGAGTTTGGGTCTGGCTCTCAGGAAATTCGCCAATAAGGCTATCCAAAGTTCATAAAATGTCATAGAAATTTCCTAAGCACCAGATTTTTAAACACCAAGATGAGAAATACAAAGTTTGTGAAATCTCATTCTCGTAAGGAGTTTTCAAATGCTGTTGAAACCTTGTTATGGTCTCAAAGGCTCAAATATACAGAAATCAAACCTCAGTATTGATTTATTGTCTAACTGAATGTGATCAAATGTAGCAGAAAGTCCTTCACAGGGCAAGGGCACAAAATAAAAACCTGTAAGAGAAGACTGATACTATCATTTAAGTGAAGTTTGCTTGTGCAAGTATGGGCTTCTAGGTTTCGTGTCTGTGTCAGGAGTTTCCAGACAATGTCACCTACCAATTATGCTTTCACTAAAAAAAATATCAAAGTTAGGTTTTCCCAATATTAATTTAACAGAGTAAATAAATAATCTCTGCTGAAAGGAAGTCACAAGGCATATTTTACATAGAAATGAGTGTTCCTTGAGGACTGTGAAAAACCTGCCAACGGGGATTTTAATGGAAATTAATAACCTCCTTAAAAATAGAGCTGCAGATACTTATTAAATGAAATTAAGTACATTTGGAGAATTGTAATGCATCATTCATCAAAACTTAAACTGAGCCTGGGATATTCATAAACAAACATGAGGCAAACAAACAGCACTTTGTTAAATTCCAAAAACTGTGTTTGTGAAATGAAGATACAACTGGGTGGTGACTGAGCTGACAGGGACTAACCTACTTACAGCCGTGCCCCGTGGCCTGCCATTTTCCCAGAAGAAACTTCATGTTCTAATTATCTATTGTAATTTTTGCTTGCTTCTACTTTTTATTAACAGAAGCCGTAAATCTTTCAGACATGAAGCAGTGCCTATGAAGTCTGACTTACATCTCACTAATGCGTTACACTACGTATGCTGTTATATACGTGTCTGATGGCTTTTGTTGTAATAACAACAACAAAAAAATCCTTTGATGTCTTTTGTAAACAATTAGAATCTACTACTGTGCTTCTGGTCACTTTAGGGTACTATAGATATCCTATTAAAGGAAATATCACTCAATCCCAAACTTCTGAGTGAACTGAGAATATATCCATTTTAAAACTGATCAACTGTTTACACTTTCTTTTAAACAGGCGGAATACATATGAGGAGCAGTGATATGAAGAAACCTTTGCGAAGGTCACGTAAAGGAAAGCTTGGCTAGTGGGGAATATCTTTCCAGAATAGATTGCAACCACGACCTTCCACTGGAATAGTTGCACAAGGTGAATAAATTACGATAGTACTCCTCAGTATCTGCATTTAAAGGACATTTTACCTCATTGCCCAGCACAGCGTAGGGACCAGTTGTCATGAAAGGACGCTGTTCATGCAAACTGCTTACAATTTTTGCATAGCAACAGCAAAACCAGAATTGCTTTTCAGGCTGTTGAGGTGCTCATCGGGGCGATCCGCCCCCCCCACCAAGAAAGAGGTGAGATTTTCGGGGGTCTGCTAGCGCAGTCGGCCCCGGGGCGGCGGGAGGCGGTAGAGCCGCAGGATGGATCCTCCGGGGAAGGGAGAAGCGCGGGTTTAGCCCCGGAAACCAGAGGCGGCCCCGCCTGAGAGCAGCAGAAAAGGGGGGGAAGCCGGCAGGGGGGA